TAAATTTACTTAAATATCCAAGATGTAATTTACAAACATTTTCACAATTTCCAAATTCCTAGGTCTGGATACTTGGCTCTGTAAAGGATAAAAGTTGAATTAGTGATAATCATTTTTTCTTAGTATATTGATATTTTTAAAGTATTGTAGACATTCCAATGCTGAGTCAATTTTGGCTATGAATCCAGTGTGCAGATTTAGTAAGAAGGATTTATAGACTGGTTTGCAGAATAATTATGCATTCTACCTTTCGCCACTGAATGAAGGCAAATTTGCATTACACTGTGTGTGTGATGGTTGGATCTCATCAGCCTCTTGTTTTTTATTTTTTGTTTTACTTTTTTATTTTGAAAAAGTTATTTTCATAAAATAATTTAATTTATATTAATACGTGATGGGTTTATGTTAAGGTGTAGTGGATTCATTATTAGTTTTGATGAATAAGTCTTTGTTTTAAGGCCTCAGTTTTAATTTTTAATTCTGTCAGCTTAGGAAGCTGAAGGCTTGGCTGGATCTGCTAGCGGATTCCACACCCCACCTTCCTGCCATAGAGTGATTCAACACTTAGAGGGTAGATAAAGGGGTTGAGGAAAGCTTTGTGAGCCACTTCCTCAGAGGAGCTCTGATCTTCGCAGCCACAGCCACTTCCTTGGAGAAGCTCTGGTCTTTGCAGTAGACATGGAAGAAAGAGAGAGAGGCGTGATAGATGCGGCAGCTGCTGCTCCTTCCTCTGCTCTTTGCTGTTTTCTTCTGCCATGAACTGCTTCCTTTGCCTTGTGCTACTCTTCCCTGGAGCCAGTTGAGTATGGAGCGAAACCTCCAGTAACTGAGTTAAATGAACCTTTCCTTCCTTAATTTTGGGTGTTGGCTATTTTGAACCAGCAATGAGTAAAAATCATCTGTCTCTTTTCTCCACCCTTCATCTTCTTTTATCCTCTGTCCTGTTACAAAACAGAATGCCTCAGTAGAGTCCCTGGAGCTCTGGTTTTGATTGAGTTTGCCCACTGGAGGTCGAAGCCAAAGTCACCCATTTACCAGCCAACTGAAAGAGCTCCTCACACTGGCAATGTCTTGTGGCTAAGGGTCGCAGCTTGTGGGAAAGGTCTGTGTAAATCAGGCGCTACAGACTGGCCTGACCAGGACCCTTGTGGGAAAGGTCTGTGTAAATCAGGCGCTACAGACTGGCCTGACCAGGACCCTTGCCATCCCCAGTTTCTAGTCACACATTTTAAGTATTCAATTTATTAAAATCGCATCAAATTACATAACTCAAATGTGAATGTGTCTTTTCTCTTTTATGTATTTGGCACAGGGTCTCACTACACAGCTCAGACTCATAATGATCCTCTTGTTTTCAGCCTCTCCAATGCTAGGATTACAGGCACGCGCCACCATGCCCAGATTTGGTGGCCAACTAAGCACACCTGGAGACAGGGTCAGCACCTCATGTGGCGCCGGGGATTGAATCCCAGTCCCTGCGCTTACCTAAGCAGGTGCTTAGTCTGCTGAGCTATCTCGCCAGTCCTAAGCGTGAATTTTTCTTCTCTTTCCTGCTTCAACTCTGCCTCTACAATATAGGACCATCAGTGACAACAACGCAAAGCTCCAAGCTATTACACTAATGCTAATGAACTGAGAAATCAAGTATCTCTCGTGCTCGCCACCACATGCATTTAGATAAACACATGTAAGGCTCAAGGGAAAATCACTGGAAATAATCACTATATTGTTAAATTAAAAAGTATAAAATTACAAGAGCACCACAGTTTGGAGTGAGTTTTCAGTCAGATTATGTTTAAACAGAAATGAAGTCTTCAGTGATCCTCTAGTCTGAGGTAGAAGCTGGCATGCAGAGGGGTCCCTCAAGGACACATGGGTGTAAGACCTCCCACCCTTTAACTGCTTGAGTCTACGAATTCATGTGCAGCTACAGCAAGAACACAGGAGATGGACAGAACAGCACTACACTGTGGGAACTGTGCGAAGAGCAGGGATGGCTCCCCTGATGACCCTCATGAGCAGAGAGCCATCAGAAACCCCACATGGCTCTCTGAGCACACCAGGTGAGGGACAGGGCCACCGCAATCAGATGTGAGGATCCAAGGTGACCACGCCAGCATGAGGAGCATGAACACCACCAGAGAACACTTGTCACAAAATGCACAGCACTGATGAATTTTTAAAAATAAAATTATTCCAAATAATCCATATGGATTGGATGGCTGAGATGGTTCCAAGTACTAAGCTCTCCTGTGAAGTCATTTTCAGAAAAAAAGAATCTATTCATCCGGGTCCTTCCTACAGCCTAAATAGATATGTATTCTCTCTCTCTCTCTCTCTCTCTCTCTCTCTCTCTCTCTCTCTCTCTCTCTCTCTCAAATTATATATTATATATTAATATAATTAGATATATTATCCAAAAAGCAGCACCACAGAAGAGACAGATGGACCAAGCAGGAAGATCATAGGACAGTACAACACTGTCCCTCCCATCTGTATAAAATGGCAAATAAAAATCTTCCCATCCCTCTTCTCTTCTTCTTCTCGCTTCAACCTATTTTGCCCATCTAAAACAAGAGCCACTGGGCTGACCTGGAGAACACAGGTCCAGTGTCAGAGGAGGACTGTGTCTTTTGTCTTGCTTATGCAGCCTGCAGCAGGAAAACTTTTAAATTAGTAAATATTTGCAAAACAGGATGAGTCCGTTCATCGTGGGGAGTCAGCACACATGCCCACCTTATCCTTGTTATTTGCGCTCCCGCTCCCATCCCTTCCTTCTCTCTTCATCCCTAGAAATGCTTCCCATCTCCAAAAGGTCTACCCCCCTCCCTGTTTCTTCTCACCTATCCTGTGTCTTGCTCTTTAAACAACTCACTGGCGTTTCTCATATGAAACAAACCATGCGCTAGTTCAGCTTCTTCATCTTATTCATGTTACTCAGCACTATGCTCTCCAGGAGTGTCCATTCTCCTACAAATGAGACAAATGTGCTCTTCTTTATGGTGCTGTGGGACTCCAGTGAGTATGAATGCCACACCTCCTTTATGCATTTATCTGTCGATGGACGGAGAGGCTATTTCCAAGACTTAGCTCTTGTGAGCTGGTCACCAGTCATGGCAGCATGGTATTTTCTTCCCCAGAATGAGGCAAACACCAAAATCAATGCAATGTTTCCAATTCTCACTCATTGCCCACAACCCTACCCCATGCTGCCCAAGTTTCCTTGGATCCCTCCATAATTAAAAGCTCTGTGTTTGTCAGCTCACCTCAAAGCTTAACGCAAGGACTCACATGATTATTTTAAAAAGTCATCAATAATGTGACTCATCGCCAGTCTAACCTTTCCAGCAAACCCTAAAATTCTTAGAAGTTGATCTCTGGACACTGTCTAAGGCTATAAGCCAAGTCAGTAAATGCAAAGGCAGAGAGTTTAAACTTGTACTCATTGTGCCCCAATCCATCCCCCTCTTACTCTTTCTACTACCTCCTGGAGGATCTTCAATCAAAAAGAAAGGAAACACACACCAAAGGATCAGCCATGATGAAAGCCTCTCTGCTAAGAAACTGGGAAGGTTTGGAGAGAGAAATGTATTCCCGGGTCCTGGCCACATTGTCCTCCGAGTGGTTCTGCTCAGTGTTATGCCGGGAGAATAAATGCTGACCATTACATAGCAGCAGAAGTGGTATTGCTCCACATCACGAGGACTGATCAAACGTGCTCCACAAGACAGCATTCCTCACGAAGGAATTGAACAAAATAGGAAAACGTATGTGCCAAAACTCAACAATCAATAAAATTTAAGGCTGTCAAAGGGTACTAATTTCTAAGGCAACTGCCCCCTGCGATGTGTTTTGAGAACAATCAAAATACTTCTTCATGCAGCATCTGCCTGGCAAGTGCAAGGACCTGAGTTCAAATCTCAAGTACCCCCCCCCAAAAAAATGACTTCTTACAAAAAGGTGATTTGGAGAAATAATGCCTTTCAGAAAAGAATTGATGTATGGATGAGCTTAGGGTTAGGAGTCCTCTAGCTCGTGCCCCTGAAGGCCGGAGCAGCCTCCTGCGAGGTGGGTGGCTGGACCCTTACCTTACCACACTGCTTACATTTCCCCTCCTGCCGGCGCCTGTGCACCCAGTGATGACGCACAAAATTCTGTGGAAAAACAAAGTTAAAGGAAAATTTTTAATCTGCAGACCTCAATATTCACTTTGTAATGTTTTAAGATTATAGATTTATATAAACCACAATTCATGCCCAAAAACAAAACTGTATTTATAACTTATTTAACAATAACCATGGATTCACTCAAGAAAAAAAATAAAATAAAGTTAATTCCTCTGTCTTTGGTGAAGTCCCATAGTTATAGGTTCTGTCTACGTTGCCTTTCCCTGCTGCCTGCCTAGAGGCCAGTGGCCATACCAGCTGTTTACTTTCCAGTCCTATCAGTAAAACTTTGCATAGATCTGTCGAGGGTAAAGGACTGTGAGCTGGGAGGTCCCAGAAGCAGGTTAAAAAAAAATACCCATAGAGAAATGAAAAGGTGCAGGAAAAGAGCCAGGACAGCAACATCCGATTCAAATGAACGAACATGGGTTTACTACCTCCCATGACAGGCGGGCACTGTTCTAAACACTAACTAGATAGAACTTCAATTCTCAGGAAGTGACAAGACATTGACTTGAAAACATCTTACCACCGAACAATGATTGGAAAATGTTTTACTAGATGAAGTGAAGGAGGAGAAAAGTGGTGTCAAAGACAAGAGATGTGAGTCCATGGGTAATAGTTTCATAATGAGACTGTTTATTCCCCAGGCAGCCTAGGTAGACAGCTCCAGTCTTTTGAGGCAGATAATCACCCCTGGGGCAGCGAGGCAAGCAGCCCTTGTACCCCTAGCTCTTATGGCACCTGAGAAGAAAGAAAACTACTTTTTTATTATTTTTAAATTTAGAAATGCATTGTTTAATCCACAAGCTTCATATAGCTTTAGTTTAAAAAAAAAAAAAAAAGAAAGAAACAACAGTGAAACCAAGACACTATTTCCAAGTCTAGACCCTTCTTCCAGCTTCCAAATACAAGAGCTCTGAACACTATATATCCCAATTGGAAGAATATGTCAAAAACATGAATAGAGCCATGATATTTCAGAAAACAATGATTTCATATAACTGAAGGATCCATCCATCCCCTGGGATGACTAGACTACCTTTATAAACAGAAGTTTAAGTAGATGCTCCAATGTCACAGGCTTTCCTATTGCCTGTGGAATTGATGCTGAAAGGAATCAGGATCCGAGCGCCAGGTTGAGACAGAAAAATTAAAGCTTGTTCTCCAAGAATGTGTGACATGTTGATTCAGAGCACTGGATTTTACTGTGTTCTGGGCTTCTTCTCTTTTCTCCCTCCCTTGTTACTAATCCCCACATCCTCTTCTTCCCCTGCTTGTAAAGAACACTATTTTCAAGACAAGTATAGGTACACCTAATACCTTAGCACAAAGCATCTCTCTGAGGCCAATATACATATAACCCAACCTACTCCTCTCTTTCCCTTTTCTGAATTAACACACTTGACTTGATACTAGGTGTCTTTTGTTGCATCCAGCCATAATAGGCCCTTGGCATACATGGAGTCATTCAACAAATGTTTATTAAGTCTCTTCTACATGTGCGGCTTGTTAAGGCCAGTGTTGAGGAAAGAAAAAATATTATAGCCAGGCATGAAAATCAGACTGACATGAATCCCCCAGCAAGCATTAGCATTATTAATGCCAAAAGGCAGTCTCGGTTTCTCTGAGTAATGTCAAATCAACTCATACCAAAATAAAAGAAAAACCCTGGGGGGATATGGTCTTTCAGCTACAATATGATACGAAGAAGCATAAAGGTCCCCAAAAATTAGCCTGATTTTCATCTTGCTTTGCTCACTGTCATGCTTTAATAAAACAATTTTATCTGCTCTAAGAAAGAAGCTAATAATAATAATAATAATAATAATAATAATAATACTTCCTGATTACTGACTCGGTCCCAGGCACTTTTAAATATCTTTTATGTATAACATGCATAAAAATGTTTTTAATCTTCATGAGAGTTTTAGTGACTAGAGGAGCTGTACAGAAGGAATACACGGATGAAGTCTTAGGTGTTCTTCAAGCGTTGAGCTATTTGTAGATTTGCGGTACATTACAGTGTTCTGTGCCCTCCCCACTCCTCCTCTGCTGCCATAGCAACCTCTACTGCACCCCCTTGGCACCGGAGACCAAACCTCCCCCTCATTCAATAGTAGGAAGATACATTTCTGACACATCACACCTCCAAGATCCTGGCCGGTGGGTTCACTGTCCTGTAGCCAGGGCCACTGATTCCTTCAAGCACCTCCAGAGACTGGGCTGGCGCACCTGGAGTGTTTGTCTAACCTTCCAAGTCCACCTGGGCATGATGGGCCCCAAAGCTCGCTGCGGCTTTCGAGACCGTGGCTGCCTTTCCAGCAGCCTTCTGCACTGTCAGCAGCAGGTCCAGCTTGAGTGTAAGAACTCTAGGGAGGGGGAGATGCTGGGCCCTCCCCATCCTCACTCTTCAGATGAAGCTACTGCTGAGCACCTTGACCTCATACTCTAGTGATAAGACAAGGACTTTACTCAGGGCTTGCTTAAGAGTTAAGGTAGGAAGGACAGTAGCAAACTGCCAACCATGGAGTGTCAGAATTCAAGTTATTGAAGGCGTCTCAGCGAGACATCATGGTGCGTTCCTCTAACTCCAGCACTGGGAGGCTGAGGTAGGAGGACTAAAGGTTTGAGCCCAACCTAGGCAACTTAGTGACTCAGCAAGATCTTGTCTCAAAAAAAAAGTAATATAGGGCAGCTCCTCAGAGAGTTTGACTCTAGGTAGCATTACAGCCCTCATTTAACAGATAAGGAAACCGAAGCACAGAAACGTACATCAGAGCAGCAACTTGTGTTCTGTCAGTTGTGTCCCTAATGCCTCTCTTCTGCTCTGAAAGATCTCACTTGAGCTACTTCAACGAGACATGCCAATGACAGACAGGAATGAAAATACTGAGTCTGTAAAAATGTCAGACAGTAATTAGAAGGCAGAGAAAAACTTACCACACTTGCTTAGGTTAGAAGAAACTGAGCAAGAATGAACAATACCACTGAAAGAAATTCTGCATTTATTAGGGTTATAAATCACCCAGTTACTATCAATTTAAGAAGGAAAATCCTGGAAGAATTGGATATAATTACCTGTGAGAAATCACGCTGACTCATAGGATCACTGAGCTAGTGCCAGATCTACTCAAAAGATGAAGCCAACAATTTTCACAAACCAACAGTTATTTAGAAATTAGATGACTAAATTAATCATTTTGCTGTGACACATATTTTGGCAAGCATATTTACAGTTCCATGTAATTTAGTTTACACAGGAAATAAGAGATAGTATTTAAGAATTGTTTTTAAATATTTATATATATGCATATATATATATATAAAACTAATAGTCATTAAACATCTTTACTATTATTCTTTCTAGAAAGTAAGCAGGAAAGCAAGAAAACCAAGGCACAGATCACATGATTTGCACAAAAATTATTAAACTTTTATTTAACTATACTTATTATTGAAGAAAGTAACTTAACAAACTTACTAACTATATGTCCATAATCTATAGTTTTAGATTTGGATATGTCAAGCACCCATCCATTCAGAATGTTTCCCTGACTTAGTATAAATTTATTTCTGTATGGTTTAAAATAATAATGTGGGGTCGGGGAGGTGGCCCAGTGGAATAAGCGCTTCCCTGGTAAGCGCAAGGGCCTGAGTTCAATCACCAGTTCCAACAAAAAATAAATAAATAACTAATAATGTGATCACACAGTATGTATATGCATCAATTGCCCAAGTTGATTGTATTATGCAAATATATTCTAATAAGAAGAAAAAAATTCAGCTTAAGCACATAGTTTGAACAAAGTAAATATGCAATAAATGTATGGTCGACTGAATGGAATTCTCAACCTTATTTCTTTGACAACTAAATCATGGGGCTATTATTTTAGGGAGGGAGGGTCATTAAATGTCTTCATCAGTAAGGAAAAGAAAGCTGTTATCGTAGTTTGTTACTGTTTTCTAATCGTTATTCATGAGCAATTTAATTTTACACACTGTTTTCTTTTGACCATTATTCATGGCTCTTAAATTACTGGAGTGAAATTAGATTTTTCACACTTTCTTCTTTTGGCCATTTTTCATAGCTCCTAACTAGTTGAATCAAAATTAGGTTTTTCACACTGTTCTCCTGATCATTATTCATTACCCCTAAATTGTTGAATTAATATTAGATTTGGGATTCTTATACTACAAATGTGAGTGTTGATACATAGTTGTTAAGACAGCAAACTAAGGCTTCGAACACCACAATATCTTCTCATTGTCAATCAATAATTCTTGAATTTTTCATAATCAGGTAAGGAAAAGACTATATCTTCTAGGTTTTTACCAGTGATATATGCTAATTGATACTTAGCATAATGGCTCAGTTATTTTCCAGTACCCAATTTAATTCAAAATGTTATTCATAGAATGTTTGAAAGGCTCTTAGAACTCATAACCTATCCTTTATAGTTTACAACTAAGAAAACTGAGCTTCCCAGAGACTCATCTCGAATGATGAAGTCCTCCACATATTTGTTAAAAAGTCACCAAGTTCAAGTCTTGTGTCACTGTGAGACACCGGGGCCAGCAGTTCTTACTCTTGAGATTCTGGCCACCCTGTCAGAAAGAAGCAGAGGTGCAACGTGAACCTAGACCGAGCTCACGAATGCCCCGTCGTTTACACTGAGTAATCTGTTAAAAATCTCTTAATTAAGAACCCCAAATCAGTCATCCTCAGCCATAAAGTTCATCTCCAAAATAGCCTCTTAGGCCAAGAGTTCTCAGGCATTCTGGAAGGAATTCAGCCTCTTAGAAGGGCATTCAGGCAGTCCACGTTCACTGACCACACGCTCTTCGTCTTGGACCATTAAACAGGGACAAATTCCACACAGAAACTCCCAAACCTTATGTTAAAGGAGGAAGACACTGTTAGGCCAGTAAATAGTAATATTTATAAATAATCCCAATGTGCAAGGGGATTCAAAGGGGGCACAGCAAGGTGCTCTGACAGAGAGCAATGTGCTGTGTATTTACAGGTGAGGAAGAATTCTGCAACAGACTACAGTCTGTGACACCACCAAGCTCCTATGTGAAATACTAACCCACAGTGCAGTGCGATTCAGATGTGGGACTTTCAGAGGCACCTAGGTCAGGAGGTTGGGGCCCTCACTAATGGGATTAGCAGCATCTCATAAAAGGGACTCCAAGAGAGGGCCTGAGATATAGCTCAGTGGCACAGCCCCTGCCTGGCAATAGTGAGGTCCTGAGTTCAGTTTCTGGTACAGAAAGGAGGAGGGGGCTCCAGAGGGATCTCTTGCCCTCCTTCATCCCTGTAAAGAAGTCTGCAGCATGGGACAGGCTTCTCACCACAGCCAAACCAGGCTGGATCCCTGACCTTGAGGTCCTCAGCAGCCAGAACTGTGAAAAATAAAATTCTCTTGTTTACAAGCCAGCCCAACTAGGATATTCTGAGATGAAATCATAGACTAAGACAACCTCTAAGTGAATGATATTTAGGCTGTAGCCTGGGCTGGGGAGACAGTTCAGCAGCTTAAGAGCCTGCCTGGCCAGCACAAGGTCCAGAGTTCACTCCCTGCGACCGCAAAAATAAATAAATAAGCAAGCAAGCTTTAGCCTGACTGGAAGAAACAGTCATGCAAAGAAATTTTCAATATACCAATCAAATACACAAACATTCAAGGCTCTGGTTAGAGCCAGATGGAGCAGGAAAGGCAGACAGTGGTCAGACCACCCAGGTCTTCTCCGACAAGACAAAGGGCTTCTGTGCTGTAGAAATCACTGGAGAGTTTCAAGACCGAAAACGACATAATCTAGTTTTCATCTAAAAGATCACACTCTTAAATTCTGGGCAAGTTAGAAGGAGAAGCTTAAAAAAAATATGGAGAAGCTACTGCAGGTGTCACAGGTACAAAGTCACTGTACCTTAGTACTGACAACAGAAATTGAGGTAAGTGCATTAATTATGAAAAACACTTTACAGATAAAATCGACAGGAAAAGGCAAATGAGTTGGATGCATAAGGAATGCAAGAGTAGAAATCAGTATGACCCGCTGTTGTTCCAATTGAAGTGTATTTTTTGCGAGGCGCAAAAACACAGGAAAAGCGGTTTCAACCAAAGAGCTTCTCTTTTCTATGCATTTTACTTGACACGGGAGCGATGCATTCTGACGCACCATACAGAACCTCAAGGAACGAAGACCGGAAATGGAAAGTCAGCAGATGTCAGAGCTTTAAACAAGAGCTGGCAGAGAAGACAGAACGTGGAGAAGCTCCTAACCCAGCAGGTTATAAACAGGGTCAGGGATGCACAGTGTGAGCCTGCAGGAAGGGTTTTCCAGTGCGGTGGAAAAGCGAGCGAGAGTGACACCGGCGCTCAAGAGCAGAGACCATCTCCTGAAAAATGGAATACTAATATTTTGAGTACTTCTGAAACAGAAAAGAATGATATCTACTGAGATTGGCACGGAGGACATCAATTGTGACAATAAACAGGCAATTTCAGTGAATGGAGAGTAAAAGCCAGCCCCAAACAGGTTCGAAAGATCAGAAGAGGACATACTAAAAATAATTCCAATACATGGCACTTCTTCGGAAGCTCAGCACTGAACACAAAGCTGAGGATTCAAGCAAAAATTAAGCACATTTATTTTTCTAAGTCAGGGTCTGGGGAGATAGCTCAGTAGAATAAGCGCTTGCCTGGCAAGCACAGGGTCCTGAGTTCAATCCCAGGTACTGCAAAAAACAAACAAAGGAACAACAACAACAAAAAAGACATCTCTATTTTTCTAAGACAGAAGCTGTGATAGCATGCTTATGCTGATAGACATAATCTAGATGGGGTGGAATGGGAGTGTTTGAAAATGTAAAAAAAGGAAGAATAACAAGTTGAAGGAAGAAGACAAGGGAAGACCACATGGTCGAAAGGCCACATGGAAGAATTAGTTTCAGGGAAAAGGAGCAGAAGAACTAAGGGAATCTCTCCTGCCCCCTGGAATTTAATTATCCATCTATGCAGAGAGAGGAGGGGAACTAAAATTGAAGGACCTCTCAGCAGGAAATCTATAAACCCCACCATAAGAACACATTGCAAGCCCTTTCCCTTTGCTCTGAGCTCCCACTGAGTGATATGGTGGCCGGGACCCACGTGCACTGTGGGGTAGCACAAAGGACACTCGCTATGCGGTTGGATCCACAAATACCAGGGGAAGCCAATGCATGGGGTAAGTACCTTCTCTTCTGTCCACAACCTCTGACTCTACCCTATTGCTTTCATGTTTTCTTTCAGTCCTCTTGAATTCAGTAGAATCAATGAGATCGTTCTTTTTCAGTGTCTTTTTAAAATTTCCCATTTGTCTAAAAAATCAAGGTCTGGCATATTGTCTAGCTCCTGGACTCAAAGGGTCCTCCTACCTCAGCCTCCTGAGTAGCTGAGACTACAAGGCTGAGGCTACCACTGCCCCAAGCCTAGTATTGACTGTCATTTAAATGTGTGTGATTTTCTCTGGATTCATCCATCTTCTGTTCCTAATCTACACAGTCAGGTAGCTCACAGCTTTCATTACTATCTGCAAGTGCCATCAATTAGCAAATGTCCAAACTCTGGCTCTTTTGTCTGATAACCTACAAATTCATATTCCCACCCAGCTTTCTCTTGGGCATCCTGATTTGGGGTCATAGGACACCTCAGACCTGGTAGTTCTACAACTAAACTCAACAGCTCCTCATCCCATCCTCAAATAAAGTCATTTTCCAACACTGAACACATTCTCCAAGGACCTTTTCCCTCATGTCCCCAAATCCCATCCATTACTACACCTTGTCAAGTTTGTTTTCTTCAAACTCATATCTGCCACCCATGTTACCCTTGGTCCAAGTCATCATTCTTGTACACTTAGATTACTGACAACACCTTCTCAGTTGCTTCTATACCTCCAACAGTACTATTGTAGAACTCCAGGATGTTTTCTCTGTGTTTCATTCAGCACAGGACATTTTACCAAAAGCAACTAAATGCCCCTTCCCAGTTTCTCTGATGATAACAGTGCAGCATGGCGCCCAGGGGCCCTTGAATCTGGCCCTTGCTCACCCATAGATTGCACTCCTCATTCACCAGCAACTCTCATTGATGCCTGTTTGCATCTTAAGTTCTGTTTAGGGTTTCATGGTCCCTTTCTTCTCACCCATGTTCACCACTATAAGAAGCTGGTCTGAGGCACACACCTGCTTGGATGTTTCCCAAGGAGTATAAGTACAGCTTGAACTCATCTCACTGGAAACATAAAGAGGAGCAGAAAGTCTAAGGGAATCCTGCCCCTCCCCCCCGCATCCCCTGGAATTTAATTATCCATCTAATGCAGAGAGAGGAGGGGAACTAAAATTGAAGGGCCTCTCAGCAGGAAATCTATAAACTCCACCATAAGAACACATTACTAATGTCCATTAATCAAAAATTACTCAGCAGGCTTTCTCTGAGGAGCGCTCCGCATAAGATGGTAAAGGGTGGAGCACAGTAGGGAGCACCTGAGCAGAGTAACTACACTCTAGGAAGGACGAGTTCTGCTCAGGACGAGCCTCTGTCTTGCGAACTGTGGACCACAATTCTGGCCCAGAACTAGACCCCAGAGAATACATTAGGGGACTGAGAACCACTCTCACCTTCCCTAACACCTCCCAGCAGTTGAGCTTGGTGTGTCCTCTGAACAGAAGCTGAACAAACAAGTATGTTCACAGGCCGTCTGCTCCTCTGAACCCTCTGTTATCACACAAATGGCATCAACTGCTCTGCATTCTAGTTCAAACTTGTTTATTGTCATGACTAGACTGTGAGGTCAGGGATCGACTACTGAATGTAAGTCTACCTATCTATGTATTTATCTATCTATTTAACATATTAAAACTCTGTTACTTAGATTAGATGAGATGTCCCCGGTCACACAGCATCAGAACTGGCTTTGAGAGAGAAGAGCTCAACTCTAGCATTCTTATGAATAAGGTCATTATGATGCCTTCTGTGTAGTTCATACACACTCAAAACTGAGAAACTGCATTGGAGATTAGCCAAGGAAACAACACAAGGCTATTGTCTCCTCACCCCTTCACCTCTGCTCCTCTCCAGTGTCTGGTTCAGCCATGAGTACATGGCTCCCACCACAGGGACAGCATGAGCGGAACAGAGCAGAGGGCTGTGTGCAAACAAGGGAGGTGCCTGAAGGGAGCACAGACGGGACTGACCGAGGGCTCCACCAGAGACTCGCGTGGAACCGACGGGCACAGACTGTATTTCCGACTCCCTAGTGAATCCTGGATACCTACGAGAGCCCAGAATCCACAGGAATCCAAGGTGGTAACCAAAAGCGTCCGGAAATACTCACTTCTCTTGGTGATCTCGAGCCCCCTTCCCGAAATGTTGGTTTACATCTGAAATTAATCTGTCATATAAAAAGAAAAATACGTTAGAGATAAGCATCACAGTAGGTCGAACTGCCTGAAAAACCGAAGAGTAACAGATAGTGAGACAATAATGCCCGGACACTAAGAAACCAGTTAAGATTATTGCTAGTTTTTTGAAATCGTCATGAAAGAGTCCATGTGACTTCACGTCTAAGTCCACGTCCCTGCGTTCTTAGTGATGAAATCAGGGCATCTGTAAATAATAATGCCCTTAGATTGACATGTGGATAAACTGAGGTAAGAAAGAGTCAGAAAAGTATGTGCCAGCTGAAGCCATTCAGCTGGGCTTCAGATCTTGAAACTTGAAAGTATAAACTTGAGAACTCTTAAATATGATGAGAATTATTCACATTATCCTGAAGTGTTCTTTACTAAGGATTCAGTCCTGCCCTTTTGAAAGGAAGGCCTCCTGGTTGGGAATCTGCATCTTGTTTCATGCCAGATCCAATGAAATGAGCATAGAATGAAGGAGAAGATCAGTGGGTGCGGTTGTGGTCCAGAGCATTAAGGTACAGTTGAGTAGTGGCTGCCTCGAGATTTCAGTGTACGACAGCTACAGGTTGTCAGGGCAAAGGCATGAATGGGGGGCTCAACTGCGGGTCATGGAACAAAAATGTTTCAACACATTCCCATGTGCGCATGGCAGCTCAGGAGCCCAGACAGAGCAAGGAGAATTCTGCGTGACCCTGAAGCCGAGGTCCGAGACAGAGGACAGCGTGCTATCTACTGGAGCCTTCCCTTGCGCTGGCCAAGGAAGAGATAAACTCTACAGAACACATGTCTTCAGGGGAGAGGTACCCGGAAGACATGGCTTCCAGCCCAGCCACACATTCAAACACAGACACTGCACAGGAAGCCACAGAAGTGGCCGACAGCTGTTTTCAGGTTCTGCTCTGGCCCTGGCAGCCACTTAAGTAAAAGGCAGACTCCTAAAGAAAGGCACATGTAAACGATGGTCTTAAGATGGAAATTTCTAGAACTGTTTTCTTTTGGGCGGAGGCCGGTTCAGCCCGCCCTGAGGGCGGGACTGGTGTAGCATGCGGTGCCAGGGTTCCAGCAGCAGTCCCCTGCACCTGCCTGAGCTCACCTAAGCAGGAGCTTTAGACTGCTGAACTATCTCGCTGGCCCCTGGAATTGTTTTCTTAAAAAAATATCTTGTTCAAAAGCAGAGATTGTATAGGAAGAGAATTCCTGCAAACTGGGCTCTGGTTTTACCATTTTTCTCAAAGGTCGACATTAAATGAGATCAAGAACTGCGTCAACAGACAGTCTAAATGACCCTTCAACGTTGTCTTTTAATTATTAATCTGCTCATCTTGTCTGACTTCTAGTTTTTAAAGGAAAACTGTTGTTTAAAAAAGTTGGAAATGCGGGTTAATACCTGCCCCCTCCAATGTAATGAAGACCGGACATTGGCAATAAATATATGTGGCAGCAGGTGGCGCTCTCTTACCTTTTCTAGCTGCTCGATGCAGGCGGCGTGGACCACGATTTTACACACTGCACACTTTCTCCTGAGAGCAGATTTCTACAACGTACAAGTCAAAACATAGAAAAGAAATGTTAACGATCTGTTCCGAGGACTTCCCCGGCCTTAAAAGGAGCATGCAGAAACAAAGCAAACGTTACCGTCATGCCCATTACGAAGCAAATGTAGCTCCATATTGACACAACCTCCGTTGGCCTGGGATCATCTCTCGGACTATAACAGACGTCACAGCTGCTAACTATTGAGCACACAGTATCAACTAAGCTCTTTCCCGCACGACCACACCTCTGAGTTTTATGGTAAAACGATGACGTCATTGTCCTCTTTTTTTTTTTTTTTTTTTTTTTTTTTTTTTTTTTTTTCACATTTTCACTAAAGTAGCTAACGTGCCAATGTCTTTACTTAGGTCTGCCTTCAAACCAAGCATCTTGTCACTGCTGCCAGACAGCCTGCGTTTCAAGGGATGGGGTAACACACACAACCAGAACACGAAACAGTAGTAGAAGTAGTAATAGAGGCAGCAACTATAACACATTTCGACTTTGTGAACGGTCAAGAACGGCATGTCCTGGGGATCTCCTGTTGCCTACAGTGTGCTGGCTAGATCCCTGACTTGGCAGGAAACCCACAGAAGACCTGAGTTTTGGTGCTCCTCAGAAGTACAGGGCTGCTAAGGGAACTGAGAGTTCATGCTAGTGCGCTTCTCTCCTGCTGCAACAGCCCTGGAAGACTTCGCACAAGCAAAGGAGGGTATCTGAGGTGGGTAGCTACATGCAGGCCAGGACTTAACGGGGCCTGAAAAGCTGTGTTCTTTGTCAGCTACCCCCATCTCTGTCTGGCTTTGTGCCCACCGCTGGGCTCTGCATGCGGTGAAGCTGCAGGGAACTTGGAGGCTTCTAGAAGCCGGCTGGGGAAGGGACATGGAACACCGCTTTGGGCAGCTTGCACAACTTGGGAAACCAGAGCAGCACCCGCGTACTCTGTGATCCCTACCAGAATCCCAGGTCAAAGAATCCTGAGTCAAAGTGTTTTCTGAACAGGGATCTGGGCTACACCCTTTGGGGTGCCACTGGGCTAAGATATATTATCTCTTATCTTTTGGGGGTGACACACAAATATTCATCAGGAGTAATTTAAGGGCAATGCTCTATGACAACAACAGGTGACATAAAGGGCTGTGTGTGATAAAACTAGCTTGAATCCTTGGCATGTCTTGTCGGCCCTGCCCAGCCTGGGCGTGGTGGCACACACCTGCAATCCCAGTGCTTGGGAGGCTGAAACCAGGAGGATCACTATGAGTCCAACCTGTGTAGTGAGACCCTGTAGACCCTGTACTAAATACATTTTTAAAAAACTAATTTGAATTAGGTAATACTGAATTTTAGAAGACCCTCTTAAAGTATATTACTAGTGTCTGTGCCTCTTGAGGCAGAACATACGCACCACAATCTCAATTCTCCTTCACAAACAGTGCACCATGCTGTTCTACAAAGACCAGCCCTTCTGCTGTTCCTGCCTTTCTGTCTGACTGAAGTTCCTTGCAAATCATTGTCCCTGTCTTTTGTCCACTCCGCTCTCCTCAGTGACAGCTTCTACACAGCTGTGAGTCTGAAAATCAGATAATTAAGGTTTATAATAACATACAAAATTAAGTGAATAAGTTCTGAGTGAAGGCCTGTGGATCTTTTCCTTCATAATTATGAGCACGGATTTCAGTTCTTCAATTGATGGGGACTATTTAAGCGGGTCTAACGTCTTTTACTGTCGACCTCTTGGATTCTGAGTAGGTTTGAATGGATGAAAGTTATTTGAAATAGCTGGATAAGAAGCTTTGGGGCTGAAATTGCTCAAAACATAATAGAGTTTTGAGCTTGGTTATGTTATAATTTTTGTTTTGAACACTTAAGCCAAATATAGGAAATACAGTATGCAATGTACAAGGGTCTAGATCTCTTTTTTTGAGGTTATGAGCAGAATATATTTATTGAGAGAAAGAAAGCTCCTGTCTGAGAGAGGGACGGGAGGGGGGCCCTAGTGGGTAGTTCCCTGAGGTCTGGATCTTTTAAGCCCTGAGAAATATTTTTTCCCAAATAACTATTATGCAATCCACTATGAAAATCAATGAGTTAAATTCATTAGCAAATTACTCAATAGGTTAGTTATTACTCTGCATAATGAGGCATAGGTTTTACAGAATCTAGCACAAGGAGATAGTTTTTAAAAGACATCTGGGATATGAAATGTGTTTTAACAATCAAAATTATAAAGATTATTTTTTGTCTTTAGTAAGGGTCTACAGGGTCTCACTACACAGATTGGGATTATAGTGATCCTCCTGTTTTCAGCCTCCCAAGTGCTGGGATTACTGGCATGCACCATGGCACCCAGTCTCAATCTCCATCTCAGCATGCCCCAGGGGTGGGGCTGGGACAGCACACCAGGGATCAAATCCCAGTCCCCGAGTCTGCCTAAGCAGGTACTTTAATCCACTGAGCTATCTGGCCAGCCCTTGAAATTATAAAGATTTATCCATTGGCTTTCTTCAGTGAATTTAGTTGGGCTTGTTACTTTAAATAGCACAAGTGTTCCCTGATTTAATCAGTGTTGATATTCAAAGAAACCTACTAATCTCCATGGGAGGCACCTTTGCAAAGAATAGATCAGACATGACCAACAGATCATATCCCTTTGATCTAATAAATAAAGGATCAGCACCCCCTTAAGTGGGTCTGACCTGCCAGCCACCCCAGAGAGAGCAGGAAACGCGCTCGGGGGTGCTGGGTTCTGCATCGCTCCCCACATGCTGGCGCTGGAGGCCACGCTCACCCAGCTGCAGACCCCACCAAGCGCAGAAGTGAAATGGCCACAGTCTCGGCAGGAGGACCAGAAGTGAGCACAAGGAGACGGCATCCAGTAACGGGCTTCCTATCTAACCCCATCCCACTCAGCCACACTCCTGGCTGTTGGTTCCTGACCTATGTGCTGCACCAAAAAAAAAAAAAAAAATCTAGCTTTGATTCATTTGAGAAAGACATGTGATTTATGCACTGCAATGCATACCTGGTGGCAGTTATTAGAGTCTGACAGAAAGAGAAAAGGGAGGGAGGGACAGAAGGAGGGGGAAGGGAGTGAAGAATAAAGATGAAAAGAAGGGAGAGATGGAAAGGGAGATAAAGAAGAGGAGAGGAGGGGAGGGGAAGAAAGGGAAAGGGAGCTGAAGAGGGGAGGAGAAGGGAGGGGGAGGGGAAGAGAAGCAGAAGGGAGGAGAGGAGAGGAAAGGGGAGCTGAAGGGAGGGGAGAGGAAGAAAGGAGAGAGGAAGGGGAAGAGGAGAGGTGCAAAGGGGAGGGATGGGGAGAAGATAATGGGGAGGGCAGAGGCAGGGCAAGAACACTTTCAGGACACGGGTAACCTTGTTTCACAGGCCTATAATTCATGAAAGGATGACAGCCTCTGCTGCCCAAGGTAACTGAAGTGTTTATCACCTCAACAGGCTGAAGTCTGACCCTTAGAAACAGGAACCACAGGGCTGGCTGCCCCTTCCTGATAAGGGCCAAAGGCTGAGTTATACTGTCCACAGGCCACCCCGTCCTGCCAGTCTTGACCACTCGCCCGGGCTCCGTCCCCATCTGGCTGGCTAAGGTGGAGAAGGAAGCGGAAACAGAGCCCACCTGGCAAACTGTTCTTGGCTCCCCTGGCTCAGGAATACGCAGAGGTCAGAGCCCTCCGCCTGCCCCACCCCCCAAATAAAAAGTGGCGTGTGAGCTTGGAAATCTCACTCTGGAAGGGGCATCATTGCTTGCACAGGTCCCTGAAGGCAAGAAGGCCACAGTGAGAGTGAGGGTGAGGGTGAGCACAGGACAAAGGGCCTGTGGAGCAGGGTGGTACTGAAGTGGTGGACCCGAGAAACAGTCTGGAAAGGCACAGGGAGAGGGAGGGCTGAGGCGCCAGGGAGGCCCATGCCCCAGCGCCCAGCCTGTCTCCCCGGGACGTTTTGGGCCTTGGCCTCAGAGCTCATGGTCCAGCCACAGTCCTTCAGAGCAGAAGGGAGCAGGGAGGAGCGCCTCTCTTTTCCTCTGCACACGGGGCAGAGCCAACGCTTAGCAAGGTGCCTGGGAGGAAACTTCCGGAGCCTCTAGAATGTCAGGAATTCAGTGTCCTTTCCAGGACTGTCTCTGTGGGCCACATAAGCAAGAACACTTGCTGTATAATCCAAGGTAAATGAAAACAAGAGTTCTTTGATTTATTTAAAACCTAATTAGAAGAAATGACAAGCGGACTTGGCAAATGCTGCTTCTCTGGGGAGCTTGGCATGCACTCTATAAACTGGCATTAGAAAAAATGAGGAAGGACATTATCGGAAAAGTTCCATCCATGTGATTTAGGAGCCTAAGTCCAGTCCACTGTCACTCGTGTTGGCTCCGGGCATCATCCAACAGATCTCAGGATATTTCACACATATCAGGAGGGTGGCCACGGAAGTTCCAGCACACGATTTGGTCCTCAGGAAAACACAGAGCACAACCGGAGGAGCTCATGCTTGCTGAGCCAGGAGCCAAGATACACGTGTCCAGTCTGTGACCCGGTGGGAACTCAGGCTCCTTAAGGGTGAGGAACCTGGTCCTCTGCCTGTGTAGTGCTGACCCATGTTAGAGGCAAGCTTCACTCGTCAACACCCATGTATCTGTCTGTCCAGTGTTCTCTTCAAGGACAAGGACTTGTGCAGGGCTGAGTCCCCCTGAGCCAGCCCTCCTCCATCGACACCTACATAATAAACCATGCCCAAGGTACCTCAGGATATTTGAAAGTAGAAGCAGCTCACAGGTAGGTGTAGGATCATTGCAAGTGAGTGCACCAGACGCTTACGCTGTGCTCCCATAATGCCACAGTTGCTGAGTCAGTGCGCTCCCATAATGCCACAGTCGCTGAGTCAGTGCGTATCGCTTATCCACAACGGTGACGGTGTGAGATGCCCTACATGTGAGCTTCCCACGTGGCAGAAGCGACCTGCTAACCACTGACTATTCCAAATGTGTTTATG